AACAAAATAACGCAGCAAAAAAATCCTGACCGTGAACCTGATACCAATCCAGGGTAAGGTTTGTGATACATTTTCTTTGTAGTGACGGCTCTGTATATAGACATGAAATTGCATCATATCATACTGAGATGGCACAAACGCATTGCTATTTAAATGTGTACCAAGCTTTTGTCTTTTACCTGTCTGTCGCTTTTCCCCTTGACCCCCTTTACCTTTTGCCACTACTAATCGGTACAAGTTTCTAGTTCAAGGCAAGTACTAATTACAAGTATCACCTGACATCATTTTGGACATAATATTGTTTGACCCCTTCGTTGCTATATCCTTACGTTTTGCCACTATGGCTACTCTTGCATGTTGCCGTATTCTCGTATCACCGGTAGTACTCCTATACCAACACTATGACACAAATAAAAACGCCATAGTACTTTATATTTACATGGCATCAACCATTTGAAGCAAGATATGGGACGGGGAGAACCCCCCCGCCTTTGTGTTGGTCATTGTTTGATCGGAATCTCAGGAATTCTTTATAGACTTCTGGGGGGATGTGTTAGGTAACAATAGTCTACAGTATGTATAGGGATTGGACAGGTAGGGGGTACCCCTCCGTCCCATATGTTTCCTGGTATAGCGTCAACAATTAAGGGGAGTGAAAAAATATAACTTTTTGTGCAAAATAGATGTGGGCCTATTCATTGTAAGCAAAGGCACTGTAAAACGTTTCTACTTATACAGTGTAATTGTAATGGATGACAGGAGAGCATGCTTCAGTTATCCGCTCTCTGTAGTTGGTACAAAGGTTCAGATTTTTTTATTTTCCGCAACAAAAGCTTTTAGCGACTTGTTTCCTTGTCGCATTACGTCAACATTGAAACCTTCCAACTTAAATACTCTGCTTTATTACAAGTTGCTCATCCCGATTGCATTAAACAACCATTCAAGGATTTTTCACCCATCGCACACACGCTTCCCTCTAGGATCTGGTTTTAGGTATTTTTTCCACTCTGCGCCCTTTTGTAGCGTCTTAAGTCGCCCAGTATCGACGTAGCTACATTCTTTGCTGTGAAAGTGAACGATATTGTTTTCTCGATACGTTGAAATGGCCGAGTGGTAAAGCTCGCTATTAGACCTGTGGATGGTGGGTTCGAATCCCAGTGGTACCTTTTTGTTTTCCTAACGCTTGCTGTCAGTCAGCAGCTATAAGAGACTATAATTCACCCGTCAAAT